CTCTGACTTCATCAAATTCTACATTTAGACTGGCAAGGAAGGTGTAAATTCGATAATTTTCTATAGTTTTTTTATGATGTTTATAGTCATCCGAAGATTTCCACTCATGAGTATCAAAAAGGTCTAGGTCTTGCCAAATTCTATTTAAAGAATTAAAATATTTTGTAACTTTATCGGTTCCTTGTCATATTTCTCTGAGTTTTTGTGTCAGTTCAAATGCCTGTGATTGATTTTCTAAGTCGGAATACATCTCATTTACGTTTTTCCATAATTCACTTGCCGTAGAATAACACATATAGTTAGCACTGATCTCCTCATCCATAGAGTTAACCAACCATGTCATTACCATAGAATTTTCAATATTCCAGATATGAAATAAAGGATCTTCTGCCGCCGATGCTTTTTTATCTCCAGTAAGGTAGCCAATTTTACCTTGTCCACGAATATACATTCGAACACTTTGAGACCAATGAAGAAAATTATCTCCATTAAGTCTGATACTAGTAATTTGGATAGGGTGATTGGAGGAATTGAACTGGGTTTCAGAAATCTTAGAGTCACAATCTGTTTTCTTTGAAGATTCTCCCACTGATTTGAACCACGAAAAGAAGAAAGAAAAGAAAAAAAAAACAGAAACGTAACCTGCAATATGAAAGTTGAATCTGGCCCGAATCGAACCAAAAAAGTTAACCAAATCGAATCGAAAAAAAACCGGATCGGACCGAAAATGTAGTTCGAACCGGAAATTTGGACCAACAGAAGTGCCAAACCCTAGCAGCACAACGATTCCTCCAGAAGCGAAGACGAAAAGTCGGCGATGGCTGTGGACGGAAATCGGCGATTGGGCTAGAAAAATCTGGCGACGAATTTCAACTCTTGACCCACGAAGATCTGCAAACCCTTGATAGTTTATCACAGACGGCACCGGCGAACTAATATGTGAAATCCCGGTGACGAACGGATTTGTAAATAGCAATGGCACTCCGATCCTTAAGACGGCGCAATGATAGCGACCCGATCCTTCAGACAGCGCGATCCCTTAGACAACGACGACAAGATGGCAGTGGGCAGCGACGGTTATGGCGGTGGTGGGTGGTAAAAGTAGGGTGGCTAGAAATAGGGTTAGGTTTAAAGTTAGGGTTAGGGTTTATCTTGGCCCTGGTACCAAGTCAATTTTAGAAGAAGAAAAAACATTATTGTTTTTCTTACTTGAAAAAAATAAAACCCTAGGCACCTTTTAAACAAAGGTGAGAAACTTTCCTTAACAAGGAAACTGAAACATAAACTCCTAATTACATAAAATATAAGAAACTACAAATTCCTATATAAAAAAGGAAAGACTAAATATTATAATAATTATCTAAAATATATAAAACCAACAATTAACTTCCAATTGCTCCACCAAGCTGATGCCCCACTCTTCAATTTGAGAGCGACGAGCTGCACCTTTCTTGTGTCTGGTGTATTCATATATCAAAAAAAAACTTTCTACATGTTTAATCCATGCTAAAAACCCTTCAATGTTTAGTTTTCCATCGAAGGATAGGAGGTCCACCTTCATCTTGTAGTCACTTGGTTTGCCATGGTAATTTTGGTGGCGTCTGTTTTGACGACGATAATCTCCCCAGTATTGAAATGCTTCTTCATCGTTGGAGGAAATGTCTTGGTAATCTTGGCGCCTGGGAAAATGCCCATGGCGTCAATGGTGAGGAATATCGCCATGCCCAAATTGTTATTGCTGTGGAACAAACCCAACGTTTGGGAAGAATCTTGGATTATCACAGGGGAATTCTTGAGCAGGTGGATGTCGAGTGTAACAACACGTATTTTTCTAATACGGTCATTCTGACAAAATGTGGAAACGTAACTTTCAAAAAACCTTAAGAACTAAAATTATTCAGCGGAAGCAATTTCTTTACAGAATTTTTCTAAACTAACTTAACTAAATAGGAGGATGACTTTCAAACTCATGCCAGTATGCTAAATTTCACCTTCTACCAGAACGATCATTCAATCTTCATCTGAAAAACATTTAGGAAAACAAAAATGAGTACAAAAATACTCAATAAGCAATTTCCATATCACATTTCAAAATTCATTGTCCTTTCAAAACATTCGTAAACAAAAATACGAACAGATCAAAACTTTTAAAGTCCTTTAAAATATTTAATACAATTTTTAAAACTTTCAACACAAACTAAATTTTCAGAAACAAAGTCTTCAAATAAGGTAAAATTTTCAGTCAATCAAAACAAACTTTCATTATTTCAAAACAAACTTTCATTCATTCAAAACGAACTTTCATTTGATCAAACTCAAAATCTTTCAAAACAAACTTTCTTCCAATCAAAACCTTCAAAATTCTTTCTAAAACATTTGGTACAACTTTCAAACTTTCGAATAACTAAATCATTCAAACATTCAAAACAATCTTACATTCATTCATACTTTCAAAATCAGAGTGGAATGTTGCATTATTTGGGTAGCCTACAGAACATATGTGGTTACCCGTCGGTAACACTAAATCAATTAGAAGCTTCTATTAGAGTTGTCGAATTAATATCGACCAGAACTGAGTTACTTAAGTGTGAGGCCATGTGAGTGAATAACACACACATGAATCTTCATTCCCAAGGAATGCCAAATCACAAAAGTGCCTTCCCACAAATAAGCCAGAACAGAAATCCATCAATTCCAAATTAGGCTACTACCCCAAATAAGTAAAACGTTCCTCAAAACAAAATCATGGCATATCCAGATAGCCCTATGAAATCAATCAAAATATCTTTCAAATAAAATGCAAAACAAATACTTACTTTCAATATTAAATTAATTCAAAACATTGAACTAATTTAAAACAAAGTTTATCAATCATCTAAAACATGATTTCAAATATTTCACAAATAAACAAATATCAATTTCAAACCTTAAAATAAATGTAAACAAAACTTTATCAAATCATTTAACAATATTTCAAATACTTTGCAACTAAACATAATTTCAATTGCCAAATTAGTTTTCAAATCCATAATAAAACTTGAATTTCATATGCAAGATATCAATTTCAAATCGTCGTATCAAATCCAAAATACATTTTAGTTTTGGAAAAGATATGACAAATCACTTACAACATTTTTCGAAGGGATACGGTAAATCACTTACAATACTTTTCGAAGGGATATGACAAATTACTTACAATACTTTTTGAAAGATACGGTAAATCACTTACAATACTTTTTCGAAGGGATATGACAAATTACTTACCTCTTTCAGAAATCCTACGAACCTAATTTACTTCTTCCTTGGTAGTTGTCAACTTAGAGGCCTAGAAACAACCAATATCCAAAATCAATTCTTAAATCCTATCCAAGGATTTAAAAATCAACCAATTACTAACCAAATCTTATCTACCCAATTTTCCCATTCAAAACACTTTTTTATGCAAAATAATTAGGAAAGTATGAATTTGGGGCTACCAAACCAGATTTGAAAACTAGGTTAAAAAGCCTCTAAAATCCACCATAACAACCTTTAAAATTACAAGAATCGATATAAATCAATACGAACTAAATTTACAAAGAGTTTCTCAATAAAACCAGCTTAAAAACCTTCTAAACAATTGAAACTTTGGGGATTTTAAATCTGAAAAATTTTCTGTTTTATAAAATCAAGCTTCCAAGAATTTTCCATAAAACAATTAACAATTTATTGATTTTTATAGAAAAATCAGATCTGAAAACTTTATAGAAAACCTTTAAAATTTGGTAAAAACATATAATTTTTCATGTAAAAATCATAACAACAAACTATAATTTATAGGATACAAATAGGTAAACTTTTTATGTAAAAAGAGCCTCAAAAAAGTCCAAAAACAATCTCATAAACAAAAAGATTCAAACCAAAAATTCTGGAAAATTTTTAGGGCAAAAGTCCTTAAAATCTTTTATTCTAAAAACAAAGACCTCAAAACTTTTCCCAATAAATTGAATTAAAGAACTACAAATCAAGAAAAATAAAACTAAAACAATGAGAAGAAAATCTTACTGATCTTTGAGAGAAAATACCAAAACTCTTATTCTTTTCTTTTCTTTTTCTCTTTGAGAGAAAACTAGGTCTAACAGTTTAAGAAAATAAAACCTAGGGTTTAAGGGCTTTTATAACAAACCCTAATGAATCTTTATTTAAAAATGATAATAAAAAGATAAAGATTTAATAAAACTCTTTCTTTTTATTTTTTTCAAATTCTATGAACAAATTATCTTTCAAAAATAATTTCTAAAACAAAAAGGTTTATCTTTGAGAAAATAAAAGAAAACAATTAAAAAAATAATAATTTAAGTATATATATATATTTATATTTTTTTTCGGTTGTTACATCGAGCGTCTTGAAGTGGGTGGGGAAAAGGAGGAGGTTCTTGAGTAGGGAGAGGTTCTTGCTGCAATCTTGGAATTGGTTGCTGTCCATTAGGATGAATCTTGATTCCTTGTTCCCTTTTTTCCTTCCCAAGAATCCCTCTTGGTTGTTCTTGATGCAACTGAAGATCATCCAACTTATCTACGATCACGTTCAGAATTTGGCGGATCTCTACCACATTCCTTTGGAGGTTTTCAACAGCCCCCTCAACCATCATCAAGCGGGTGGTTGTGGCTCGTGGAGAGAGGACGGCGGTAGATTCTATCTCTTGTTCAGCAAGCGAACCTTCGGCCGTGGGCGGAGCAACCTTTTTTCCAGCCACCCAAGTATTCTTTGTCACTCTGATACCAACTTGATGTAGACTCAAATGAGATAAGAGCAGTTTTATTCCAATTGCTTGAGAGAATACAAAGGAGCTTCCTATTTATAGACAAATAGGCTACCCTAAACTAAAGGCTTTTAATTTAAGCTGATAAGACATGCTAACTAAACAACTAAATCATAACTAACTTAATGTATAGTTAGTTACATCATCATCTGTGCCCCGTAAATGATTAGCAATCTCGTGTTTTATCTTTCCTTCCAGTTAGGACATGGTGATTTTTCCGCAACAAGTACAAAGGTTTTGCGAATGGTAAACACCCTTGCTGTTGACAACGAGGCAAAACAGACTATAGATGCCTTAAAATCTGAATTGCAGAAGACAAAGGAGAAGTTACAAGCTGTTGAAGAATTAAAGACTCCATCAGGTATGAGAACCTTTTCTAATTTATGTTAGTTGAGACTCCATCAGGTATGAGAAACTTTTCTATGAGAGGTTTTTAATTTATGTTTGTTAGTTATTAAGCTGGTCCTGTATAGGTACTCATTTATTTGAGAACCTTGATTATCACATCTTTCCCCCCGGGCTCATTTTCACACTCATTGTAGTGTAGGTCGCATCCTGCTTGCCAAATAAGGTGTTCTCTCTGCAAATCTGAATGGGAATATCTTGAATGTGAGAGAATAAAAATATTCTGTCTCATTATTGAATGTATGAGTTATGTCTTTTAGAAGAAAACCATTACAAATAAGGGAAATAATAAAAATAAAGATAACGTAATTATTACCGTTGTTTTGACTACTAATATTTAGAGATTATATTTACAACAATTATGGAACCCAACAAAATATTTCTTTTTTGTGTAGCTTTTGTTAAATTATATGCGTTACCTTCTTAATTTCCTATTGTAGTTAGGTTTTAATAAATTAGGGTTTCCTTATTCTAGGTAAGTATTTCCTTATCCTAATTGGCAAATTTTAGTTTTCTTTTCTTATTTGTAACTACTATTTATACCCTTATCAACTTTGGAAAGTGACAAGAAAAGAATTATTTTTCTTTATCAATTAACATGGTATCAGAGCCTTGAGGCTTTTTCGATTGGCCTTCATTGCCGATCACTTTTTCAATCGTCCTTAATTGTTGATCAGTTTCCTACTAGTTTTGGGTTTGCCGTTCGTGGTCGATTCGTGGGTTGTGTGGCTGCTGTGTTTTTAGGGCTTCAATAAGATAAGAAAAACTTTTTTTTTTGTCTGGTTCAGATACGGTCTACGGGATTTTCGGTTCGGTCTGATTTGATTTTTCTGTCTGTGCGGCTCAAAGTATTTCCATCCCGGGTCAGCGTATCTCCTGTCCGGTTCAGCGTGTTTCCTACCCGGTTCAACATACACTCAACTCGGTCTAGCCCATTTCGGACCAATTCGGTCTATTTTGGACCCGGTTCAATTTGTTGTCGGTCTGGTTCAGCATTTTTCTGCTCGGTTCAGCCCGTTTTTCAGTTCGGTTTGACTGGTTTTGGTTTGGTTCAGCCGGTTTTTGGTTTAGTTCAGCCCTCTTTCGGTTCGGTTCAGTTCAGTGCTGATTTTTCACCCTTCTATTTGGTACTTCAAACTTCAGTTTTATGCATGGATCTCCATTTTTTGAGTTGTTGTTTAGTCTGTTCTAGCACTAATGTCGCAATCATCCAAAATTACCAAAAAATTGGACATACATGAGATCAAACAATTAAAAAGCTTCTTAAAAACTTTGGATAATGCTCCAAGTCAAGGAACAAGATCGATAACGTTGACAAGTACAACTTTTTAGCCTAAACGTTGTACCTGGATTATTGATTCTGGTGCAACTGACCATATTTTTTATGTTTCCCAATTACCCAGAATACTGGGAGTGGAAAATTGAATTTAGTGGGCTAGAATGTGTTGGATATTGAACGTGGCATGTCTATTTCATCAAGTCTAGCCCCATTTTTTTCTTAACAGTATAGATGGAGCCTTAAACTAAATGACTGTAAAATTACAACAAAGGAGAAGGACAAAAAAGTAATAAACTCCTGGATTTAAGATATTTTCTAATATAGATGTTGGAACATTTGATATCGTGTTTAAAAAATCTACTACGTGCTAATATTTAGATGTTAAAAAATTCAATGATTAATCTGGAAAATTTTCTTTGTTGAAACAAAAACTGTTCCAATTGTAACGATGAGTTAAAACAGCTAATGAAACGTACAGTTAAAACAATAAGCAAAAGAGACAGCACAACAAAGAAGCGACACAATGATCATTCATTACTCATTATACAACCAACACATTTTTCTCACTTTTGTGTATTCGCTTGTTAATTATTTAGGTGACGCTGGGAAGGTTGTGGATTCATACATATCTGGAAAAATAATGCAGCTAAAGGAACAAATTGCAACACTTGAAAAGCGTGAAGAGAGGTCAGTGCTTGATGCAATATCCAATAGTTTCAAGATTTGATGAACTCCGGTTTTCTTACTCCTTAAATTAATGGAGCATGATAAGATACTACTGCTATACAGATATAAGACTGTTTTTGCGGATAGAATTTCAGTGTTTAGAAGGGCTTGTTGTGAACTTTTTGGCTACAAGGTATTACACTCTTCCGGAACTATTTTCATCTTCATATTTTGTTGCTTTGCTCCTATATCATTTTCGGATTTGTAATGGAGTATCTTAAAATGAGTTTACTAGGACTTGCAAGTTGCAACTGAGATACCGAGTGAATGTAAAATTGATATTCGAGTTTGACTATAATGTGTTTGTAACTTACTGTATTCTTCTACTCACATTGTTAGTAATTTTGTCAGATTGTGATGGATGAACATCAGCGAGCTGATGGTATTCCTGTTACAAGGTTTACCCTTCAATCAATATATGCTCAAAGTGATGAGGAGAAGCTGCAATTTGAGTATGAATCTGGGAATACAAACATCTTGGTACGATATTAAATTTTGTGAAATTTTTCTAGATGCTATATGCTAGCTTATCCATCCTTTTTTTAATTGCATTGTTATGTGAAATAAAAGAAAGAGGCCATAAGATAACATGTTGTGGACTGTTTTTTCTTTTGTGCACTTTCAAAATCTCATGTCTTTCAGTTTTGAATTAAGTTTCTCAAGGAATAATCCCTAGTTATCTTTTCATTTTTTTAGTTTGAACCTTTCATATGAGTAGAACAATGAGTTTCTTCAAAATAATTTTTGGAACTCTAAATTATAGAGATAAATACTTTTTGCTGTAAAGTTATGGGGACGGTTGTTGGAGTCTTCGATTGGAGAAATAGAGATTGCAAGGCGATGGTGGGGGAGTTTTTTTTTGTATCCCCTTTTGGGATAAGGGCAAAATTATTTGCCGGACGTGTCTTTTCGCCATTTTGTGGGGACATGGATTGAGAGAAACCATAAAGTTTTTAGAGTGTTAGAGAGATCTTAGGATGCTTCCTGGGAACTTATAAGATTTAATACTTCTTTCTGGGTCTCGGTTTCAACGGATTTTTGTAACTATTAGTTAGATATTCTTGGAGATTGGAGCCCCTTCTTGTAGGCTTGGCTTCCTTTTGTTAGGCTGGTTTTTTTGAAGCCTTTGTACATTCTTTCATTTGTATTATGAAACCTCAGTTTATTATAATTAAAAAAAACCCTTTTTAATATTTAAAGCTTTTCACTATTGGTTCCTTTTGTCCCTGCATTACGAAAAAAGATAGCTCAATCTCTAAGATTTAGAAAATTGTTTTATTTCTAGTTACATAAGCAAAAAGGTTGACTATACTTTTTTATTATTATGAATTTTATAATATTTTTATGCTAATGTGGCCATAATTAATTATTTCTTATTTCTTATGCAGCAGAAAATAATTAAAAATCAAATTTAGCTTACTACTGATTTACTTAAAAACAAAATTAAACAAACAAAGGCGATAATTCAATAAATATAATACATATTTATCGATTATTTTTCCTCTTTTTCAAGTAAGAAAAATACTTGAAAAAACTCCAATGGACCTAAGAAAAACAACACTTCTATCCCTTTCTCTCTGTTGAGTTATGAGTTTTTTCTTGTAACTCAAATTTAGAATTCGGTTTTTATCTTTTAAGTTTCTTTTCTTTAATTGTTAGATTTAATTTTCAGTTTTTTATCTTTTAAGTTTCACTTTTATAAATTGTAAGTTTCTCCGTTCTAATTTTGGTTCAAGTTATGTATTTTGGACACCTATATAAGGGTGAACTTCCATGAGAAGTTAGTGTCACCGACATTTGTACTTTCATTTGTTTATTCATAATTTTGAATCACTTCAATTTGAAGTTGATTTCTCTTCTAGATTTCTAGTTTCTCACATTTCATATTTCCTCATTGTTCATCAAACATTGAGAATTTTAATATTGCTTCCGCATTATTTTTTATCACTTTCATTTTCTCAACAGTGGTATCATTTTCTTAATAGTGGTATCAGAGTCTTAGATTTAAAGGTGCTGTGATTTTATTTGAGGGAGAGAAATTCCAATTTCTTATTTGATAATGTCTTCAAATTTTGGTGTTACCTCTCCCCCACATTTTAGTGGTGAAAACTACCAATTTTGGGTTGTTAAAATGCAATCCTATCTCAAAGCACTTAGTCTTTGGGAATCAGTTTCAACAGATGCCGATCCCGAGCCATTGGGAGAAAATCCAACATTGAATCTTATCAGATTACATGAAGAGGAGAAGTTAAAGAAGCCTAAAGCTTTATCTGTAATTCATGCTTCTTTATCTAATCCTATATTTGCTAGAATTATTGATTGTAAAATAGCAAAAGAAGCTTGGGATAAATTACAGGAGGAATTTGAAGGGAGTGCAAGGGTAAAAGCTGTCAAATTATTAACTCTCTAAAGAGAGTTTGAGATGCTCAAGATGAAAGATTCGGATTCTGTAAGGGACTACACAACTAAAGTGATGACCATTGTGAACCAGATCAGACTAGCTGGTGAAGATTTTCTAGATCAAAGAGTTGTGGAGAAAATAATGGTTAGTGTTCCTAGCAAATTTGAATCAAAGATCTCGGCAATAGAGGAGTCTTCTGATCTGACTACTCTCTCTATAGCTGAGTTAATTAGCAAATTACAAGCCCAAGAACAGAGGGATACAATGCGTAACGAAGAGCATGTTGAAGGTGCCTTTAATGCCAAGAAACCTACTGCACAAGATGATAAAAAGTCAACCAAAGATCGGGGGAGCAAGGGAAAAGGAGGAGCGTCAAAGAATGGTAAATTTCCTCCTTGTCGTTTTTGTAAAAGGACCAACCATGCTGAGAAGGATTGTTGGTACAAAAACAAACAAGTCTACCATTGTGACTATTGCAACAAGGATGGTCATACGGAGAAGTTTTGTTATGCCAAACAAAACCAAGCCCAAAATCCCTTACAACAAGCAAATTGTGCATACAACAATCAGGAAACAAATTTGTTGTTTATAGCTTCTCATACAAGTAACAACGGTTCAACCCATGGCTAATTGACAGTGGATGCACTACCCATATGGCTAAAGATATCAATCTGTTTAGCCAGATTGACAAATCTATACCGTCTAAGGTGGTTCTTGGACATGGCGAGACGGTACTAGCTGAAGGTAAAGGTACTGTCGTCATGCATATTAAGCAAGGTGAAAAGATAATATCAAATATTTTATATGTTCCAAGATTATCTCAAAACTTGCTTAGTATTGCTCAATTGTTGCATGCTCAATTGTTGCATAACAATTTTTCTGTGGTTTTTAGTGATCAAGATTGCGCTATTTATGACCCTCATGGAGTAGAGATTGCAAAGGTCAAAATGATTGGCAATGCTTTCTTTTTGAAGGGTGACTCACTGTGTCATCATGCTCTAAATGCCAAAGTGGAAGAAAGCAAAAAATGGCACCATCGCTTTGGGCACTACAAAGCTTTGCAAAATTTGCATTCTTCTAACATGGTTGAAGATTTTACCAACTTTGTCTCATTTGATCAGATTTGTGAAAGTTGCCAAGAAGGGAAGATGCACAGACTACCTTTTCCAAAAGGTGGAAGTTTTAGAGCCACACAAAAGCTTGAATTGGTGCATAGCGATGTTTGCGGTCCCATGCGCAAAGCATCTATTGGGAATAATAAATATTTTATTCTCTTTATTGACGATTTTTCCAGGATGACTTAGGTATATTTTCTGATCGAGAGAACTCTAGTTTTTGAAATTTTCAAGAAGTTTGTGAATCTTGTTGAACTCAAAGTGGTTGTAAGCTCAAAACTTTGAGAACAAACAATGGGAAGGAAGAGCAGTCCATTACCTACACGCCCATTACCTACACGCAATTTGACAAGTTTTGTGAAGACTTGGGAATCCAACACCAACTGTCCATTACCTACATGCCCCAGTAAAACGGTGTTTCAGAAAGGAAGAACAGAACCGTGATGGAGATGACAAGATGTTTACTCTTTGGGAAGAAATTGCCAAAATATTTTGGGCTGAAGCTGTATGTACTGCTATTTACTTGCTCAATAGACTTCCTACAAGGGCAGTTAAGGGCAAGACTCCTTATGAAGCTTGGTCAGGTAGAAAACCTTCCATTAAAAACTTGAAGATTTTTGGATCTATATGTTACTCTTTTGTTCCTTCTATTAAGAGATCTAAACTTGATGAGAAGGCAATTATAGGAGTATTTATTGGCTATGCCTCTGATTCAAAAGGGTATAGAATTTTTTATTTGAACACCGAAGAGGTTATCTTGAGTCGTGATGTCATTGTTGATGAAGATTCTTATTGGAATTTTGAGGAGCAAAAAATTGTCAAAGACTCACCCACCAATTTTGAAAATTTAGAACAAATTGAATCTTCTTTTGATTCAATTGACTCTAATGATCAAGGTAACCAAGATCCTCGTTCGAATGATGATGATCTTGTTGATGCAACTGGCGATGGTTCAAATTACAAGGTAAGATCACTGGCTGATGTATATGAAAGTTGTAACTTTGTTATTGTTGAACCAAATAGCTATCATGTAGCTTCACAATCAACCGAATGGATTGCTTCTATGAAAGCTGAATTAGAGATAAAATAATACATGGGAGCTTGTAGACCAACCACGAGGTAAGAACACGTTAGGTGTGAAGTGGGTATTCAAGGTGAAGTATAATTCTGATGGTTCAATCAACAAATACAAAGCAAGGTTAGTGGTAAAAAGGTATGCACAACAACCTGGAGTTGACTATGGAGATACATTTGCTCCAGTTGCACGACATGACACTATACGGTTGATTATTGCTTTAGCTGCACAATTGGGGTGGAAAATATTCCATCTCGATGTAAAATCGGCTTTCTTGAATGGTGACCTTGAGGAGGAGATTTATGTAAGTCAACCTGAAGGGTTTGTAGAAGAAGGCAAGGAAGAGAAAGTATATCGTCTGAGAAAAGCTCTCTGTGGTCTGAAGCAAGCACCTCGAGCTTGGTACAGTAAAATTGATTCATATTTGATCCTTCAAAGTTTCAGAAGGAATTTGAGTGAAACCACTCTCTATGTTAAGGTTGGTGAAAATTCGAATCAACTCATTCTTTCTCTTTATGTTGATGATATGCTAGTAACTGGAAATATCAAATGCTTCAAGATTTTAAAGTTGAGATGGAAAAGATGTTTGAGATGTCAGATCTCGGTTACATGCATTATTTTCTTGGTATGGGAATCCATCAAGAAGACAAGCGTATTTTTATTGCCCAAAGAAAGTATGCTCAAGGAATTTTGAAGAAATTCAAGATGGAAACATGTAAGTTTGAAAGTTTCAAAGAATGATGGTGAAAAGTTTTCTAATCCTTCAAATTACATAAGTTTAGTAGAAAGTCTCTTGTATTTGACGGCATCTAGACCAGACTTACTGTTTGCTGCAAGTTTACTCCTCGAGATATATGAATTCACCTAGTGAAGTTCATTTTGGTTTTGCTAAAAGAGTCTTTAGGTACTTAAAGGGTACTCTTGATTTTGGAATCTGGTTTAAGTGTACAGGTAATTTGAAATTGATTGGATATGCTGATAGTGATTGAGCTGGTTGTGTTGATGACTCTAAAAGTACTTCTGACAATGTTTTTTCTCTTGGAACCGGAGTTTTCTCTTGGAACTCAAGAAAACAAGAAGTGGTGGCTCAATCTACTGCTGAAGTTGAATATATTTCAGCCACATCAGCTGAAAATCAAGCAATATGGCTTCTCAAATTGCTTGATGATTTGGGATTCAAACCAGAGGAACCTATGATATTATTATTTTGTGATAACAAGTCTGCTATTGCTATTGCCTCAAATCCTGTACAACATGGTAGAACAAAGCACATAAAAGTTAAATTTCATTTATTGAGAGAAGTAGAGAAAGAAGACGACATCAAGCTCATTTTTTGTAGTTCTGAAGAACAATTTGCCGACATTCTCACAAAAGTTTTACCACACAGACAATTTGTGTTTCTGCGCCAAAAGTTGGGTGTGACAAAGAAAAATCTCGAGGAGTGTTGAGTTATGAGTTTTTTCTTGTAACTCAAATATAGAATTCCGTTTTTATCTTTTAAGTTTCTTTTCTTTAATTGTTAGATTTAATTTTCAGTTTTTTATCTTTTAAGTTTCACTTTTATAAATTGTAAGTTTCTCCATTTTAATTTTGGTTTAAGTTATGTATTTTGTACACCTATATAAGGGTGAACTTCCATGAGAAGTTAGTATCACCGACATTTGTACTTTCATTTGTTTATTCACAATTTTGAATCACTTCAATTTGAAGTTGATTTCTCTTCTAGATTTCTAGTCTCTCACATTTCATATTTCCTCATTGTTCATCAAACATTGAGAATTTTACTATTGCTTTCGCATTATTTTTTATCACTTTCATTTTCTGAACAGTGGTATCATTTTCTTAACACTCTCCATCCATCTCCCCCTCCCTGTCACATGCTGTGTTTAATTTCAAATCTAGGAGAAAACAAGATAGGAGTAGGGTGAGGGCAAAAAGGTGGTAAGAGTTTTTGAAGGAGAGAAGAAGAAAACTGTTAATTGATAAGAAAAAGAAAATAATGTTTATTTATCTTTTAAAGAGTTGATACAAGGATATAAATAGTAGCTAGAGCTATCAAGAAGAAGAAGAAAACAAAACCCTTGCCTATTAGGATAAGAAAATACTTTCCTATTTAGAACAAGGGAACCCTAACCTATAAACACAATAGGAAATTAAAAGATAACAAATATAATTTAACACATTAGCTTTGGCTTTGTTTACTTTTTAATTTATTTGTTTAATCATTATTTATGAATTAATATAACTTATTTATTTGTTGAACATATGAATGTTTTTTATCTTGTAAACAGGCAAATAGTTACACCTCTCAACCCGAGTTATCTCGTCAGGTATGAAAATTAGTATCACCTTGAATATTTTTATTTGCTTTTTATGCTTAACACCGGTAGGGAGGGGCCATTTATCATTCTTTTGTATCAGAAAGTTGGTTCAGAATTGAATGAAAATTAATGAAAGCATTACATGTTCCAAAGTTCTATCACCAAAGGTTATTATGAAAGACGATTATATGACTGATTCGGTATGGAGCATTACTCAGAACTAGATAAATAGAAGTGATGTAGCCCAAACCTGTAAAAGAATCCACAAAGAAAATCGTTATTCACAATGGAAATTGATTCTAAAGATGATGTGAATACAAAGTCCAAAAGCCTCTAAACCAAAAATATGAAACTAACTCACTACACCAGTTTCGTTCCCAGCTGGCCATACTTTTGGCATGATCCGTGGATATGGGACCAGCCCTTAGCCCAATACTTTAGTGACTTGTATTACATTTCTACAAAGAAATTTTCTACTTTAGAAGACTGTTGGAATAGGGACCAAAGCGACCGGGACTTGGGTTATAAAAGAGGTTGATAGTTGGTTGGGGTTGGTGAATAGGCTGGTTGCAGTCAAGTTAGGTAAGGTTGTGGACAAAGTAGTGTGTTCATGACCAATAAACCTTAGTTACACCTAATGTGATCTCAGTCGGGCCAATGTACTCCAAGTTAGGCCACGCCTATTTTTTTTATTTTCTTTGTTAATGTCTCATTTTCATCTCGTTGCATGTTAAGATGGATAAACTCGGCTGACTCTCACGTTGCATGATCGACTTTGCAGCAAATACTCATTTTATCATAGTATTTATTTCTGGTGAAATTGCTATTTAGAAAGGTTAGTGTTTACAGGTAGTACTAGTAGTGATTGGCTAAAGTTATTTAACACTTGCAGATAGAGATATTCATCCGGAAGATGAATTCAATACCAGCTTTTACTGCAAACTTAACTGTGGAGTCCTTCAATAGGCGAACGCTTTCGTAACACCGCATTATACTTTTTCTGAGAGCTCCAAAGTTTCTTGTTGCATGTCAACGAGTTCTACACATGTTTGATTCTTTCGGAGTTATTTGTGAATGTGTGAAGCAAAGGAACATGTTTCCTCAAGTTGTATGTAATGTAACTCAGAAGTAAGTTCTTAGCTGTGAATGATTTTGGGTTTCTGCATGTGTACTCGAAGTAAATGCTCTCATTTGCCCTGAACTTGTATGTTTTTAGTGGTAAAGTTTCAACCATTTGCTGATAAAAGTTTGTGTGTGCAGACTGTCATTTAGCTGTGAGTTGTGTGAAAGGTAGAATTTTTTTTTTTTGTGTTGTCTTCCTATTTTCTTTATTTGATTGGAAATAAAGAATATGTTGAAATTTACAAGAGAAAAAAGTGGAATGGAGAAGTTTACCAAAGAAAAAGAGGTTTTACTAGAACTAAACAAAAAGATGAAATTATTACTGTATTAAAAGGTAGAATGTTATAGAACCATTTATGGACAGTTTTACTCTCTGGTTCGGAAATTCCAGCTTTAGAGGAGGCATACACTCGAGTACTTTGTGTTGAGAAGTCACAATCCGTCCTGTCATCTCAGTCTAACAGTGTTTTGGTTGGACGTAGTACAAATGTATATCGAGGTAATACCTACCAAGGAAGTTCCACGACTTCGAATGCTCGACGATGGAATTCTAGTGCTCCAAAATCAAATTCAGGAGATGTCATTATATGCAATTATTGTCATAAGCTTGGACATACAAAGCGAGAATGCAGAAAGCTATTGAATAAAGGTTAGAGAACACAGTCTGCATATGTTGCATCTACTCCTGATAATGCTGGCAAGTTAGTTATGATTCCTGCGGAAGAGTTTGCTAAGTTCCAACAGTATCAAGAGTCATTGACGGCATCGTCCTCTAATTCGATTACCGCAATCGCTGAATCAGGTAACACCAATAAATGTCTTCTTTCCTCCGCGATAAAATGGGTCATTGACTCTGGCGCGACAAATCATATGTCAGGTAACCCTAATTTATTTGCTAATGTCTCCTCGTCTACATCGTTACCTGATGTTACCATAGCAGATGACACCACTTCTCCGGTTCTTGGCTCTAGCACAGTGCATCATTCCAAATCTCTTTCATTGACCTCTATCTTAAATCTACTACAATTCTCTTTTAATTTGAAGAGCTTCCTAGCAATACATCTCCTTCTGTTCCTGATTCTTCTCTTCCCACCATTACTCAAGTTTATTCTCGTCGGCAACCTCCTACGGACTCATGCTCTATACTAGCAGCTTCTTTACCCGTGGATCCAGGAATAAGTGATGACCTTCCTATTGCTCTTAGAAAAGGTAAGCGTAAACTGTTCATGAAGCTTTGTCTCATCCTGATTGGCGGGCTGCTATGTGGGAGGAAATGACTGCCTTAGATGACAATGGTACTTGGATTTAGTGCTCTTCTTGCAGGAAAGAAAACTATCAGTTGTAAATGAGTGTTTGCTGTTAAAGTTCATCCTGATAGATCCATTGGCCGTTTGAAAGCTCGCCTTGTTGATAAAGGATATGCGCAGACTTATGGAATTGATTATTCTGATACTTTTTCTCTGGTTGCTAAATATGCTTCTTTCAGGTTATTCATTTCTTTGGCATATATTCATCATTGGCCCTTACATCAGCTTGATATTAAAAATCTCTTCCTCTATGTTGATCTTCAAGAAGAAGTGTATATGGAGCAACCACCAGGTTTTGTTGCTCAGGGGAGAATGGAAAGGTATGTCGTCTTCGTAAATCCTTATATGGGTGAAACAAAGTCCATGAGCATGGTTTGGAAAATTCAGTCAGGTAGTTGAGGACTTTGGAATGAAGAAGAGTAAGTCGGACCATTCTGTCTTCTATAAACAAACTGAGTCTGGTGTTATCTTACTGGTTATATATGTTGATGATATTGTGATTGCTGGTAATGATTCATCAGGCATCCTATCACTTAAAACTTTTCTTCATAGTCAATTACATACTAAGGATTTGGGAGTGCTGAAATACTTCTTAAGAATTGAGGTAATAAGGAGTAAGAAGGGGATTCTCTTATCACAGCGAAAATATATACTTGACCTGTTAACTGAAACAGGAAAGTTAGCTGCTAAGCCACGTAGTACCCCAATGATACCTAATTTACAACTTACAAAGGAAGGGAAGTTGTTGAAAGATCCTGAGAAGTGTAGGAAATTAGTAGGGAAGCTGAATTACCTTATAGTTACGAGGCCATACATAGCTTATCCAGTCAGTATTATGAGTCAGTTTATGAGTTCTCCTACGACTGACCATTGGGCTGTATTGGAACGTATTATATGTTATTTAAAAGGTGCTCCTGGACGTGGTTTGTTATATAAAGATCATGGTCATCTTAATATTGAGGAAGGAGGAGTTATCATCACGAACATGAAACAAAAAAACAGTGTCCTTTTGGCAAAATGTATGCAATACTCTACGGAGGAGAATTCTCCTTGGAGGAGAGTTATTGATGCAAAGTATGGGCTCTTAGCAAGCTTCTTGTTGAGATTTGAGGTTTTTTCTTCATTAAGTTTTTAGTTTTTTATTTTTTAAGTTTCTTTAAGGTTAGATTTAATTTTATGTTATTTCGTCTTTTAATTTTTAGTTTTATGACTAGTAAGTTTTTAGGTTTTAAATGATGTTTTAAGTTTTATGTTGGTTACAAAATAGGTTCAAGTATTGTACCTATATAAAGGTGAACTTCCATGAGAAGTTTGTACCACATTTCTTGTATCACCAACATTTGTACTTTCATTTGTTTATTCATAATTTTGTATCACTTCAATTAGAAGTTGATTTTTCCTTCTATTGAATTCTACTCCCTCACATTTCATATTTCCTCATTGTTCATCAAATATTGAGATTTTTACTATTGCTTTCGTATTATTTTTTATCACTTTCATTTTCTCAACAGTGGTATCAGAGCAAAGATTTAAAGGACTGTGATTTTATTTTGAGGGAGAGAAATTTCAAATTCTTATTTGATAATGTCTTCAAATTTTGGTGTTACCTCCTCCACATTTTAGTGGTGAAAACTACCAATTTTTGGTTGTTAAAATGCAATCCTATCTCAAAGCACTTAGCCTTTGGGAATCAGTTTCAACAGATGCTGATCCTAAGTCTGGGAGAAAATCCAACATTGAATCATATGAAATTACATGAAGAGGAGAAGTTAAAGATCAACCAAAGATCAGGGGAGGGCAAGGGAAAAGGAGGAGCGTTAAAGAATGGTAAATTTCCTCCTTGTCATTTTTGTAAAAAGACCAATCATGCTGAGAAGGATTGTTGGTAAAAAACAAACAAGTCTTGCATTGTAACTATTGCAACCATGATGGTCATACGGAGAAGTTTTGTTATGTCAAACAAAACCAAGCCCAAAATCCCCAGCAACAAGCAAATTGTGCAGAAAACAAGCAGGAAACAAATTTGTTGTTTATGGCTTCTCATACAAGTAACAACGAGTCAACCTCATGGCTAATTGACAGCGGATGCACTACCCATATGGCTCAAAATATCTATCTTTCTAGCCAGATTGACATATCTATACAGTCTAAGGTGGTTGCTTGACATGGTGAGACGGTACTAGTTGAAGGTAAAAGTACTGTCTTCATGCATACTAAAAAAGGTGAAAAGATAATATCAAATCTTTTATATGTTCCAAGATTATCTCAAAACTTGCTTAGTATTGCTCAATTGTTGCATAAAAATTTTTTTTGTAGGTTTTAAAGATCAAGATTGTGTTATTTATGACCCTCATGAAGTACAGATTGCAAGGGTCAAAATGATTGACAATGCTTTCTTTTTAAATGGTGGCTCACTATGGGGAAATTGGGGTTTCTAGTCCCATTATATAACTCATCTGGATTTTTGACCCCTTTTTTAAAAAAATTAATTTGTGACCCCTACTGTTCTAATTTGTGACCCATTTCTACTTTTTATCTTTGTAAAATTACCAAAATATCCTTGTTTATTTTAACTAAATTTATTCACCAATCTCTTCTCTCAACCCTTAGCATTTTTTTTTTAATTTTGAATCTAATATAGATTAATTTATTACTTAACAAACGAATCCACGCAAAAAAAATCTGAAGATTAAATTCTCCGATAAGTAAATTAGGGTGAAAAAATATTTGCATGGAATTAAGGAGATAACGAAAAAAAAAATCTGGAATTTGGGATCCCGGACCGGGATAGGAGGATCCCAGTCCGGGATCCCAAATTCCAGATTTTTTTTTTTTTGCATTTTCGCTCTTTTTCTCTCCTCCCTATTGGTATCAATTAAATCTTGAGCATTTAATGCAATATTGTCCCAAATTTTTTGTAATCTTGACTTTTTTGTAATTAAATTCACCCAAATTATGTAATTATGTACGTTTTTTTATTTTTTCCATATTAAACTTTTAATTAACTATTTGAGTTAGATATTTTTTTTAAAAGTTAGATTTTTTAAGGTTGGAATTAATTATTGTGAGAAATTTGTGGAGGGAATAAAGATTTGTAAAGAGATTTGTGGAGGGAGATGTTGATTTTGAAACATGAGGGTACTATGGTAATTTTACATTTAAATATTATGAAATTATTAATAAATAAGGAGGAGTGGGGTCATATATTAGGTTTTTTCAAAATGGGGTCATAAATCCAAAGTGAATTATGGGAGGGGTCAAAATTTCAAATTTCCCCCCATTATGTCATCATGCTCTTAATTCCAATGTGGAAGAAAGCAAAAAATGACACCATCGCTTTGAACGCTACAACAACAAAGCTTTGCAAAATTTTCATTCTTCTAACTTGATTGATGATTTTTCCAACTTTGTCTCATTTGATCAGATTTGTGAAAGTTGCTAAGAAGGAAAGATGCACAGACTACCATTTCCAAAAGGTGGCAGTTTTAGAGCCAAAGAAAAACTTGAATTGGTGCATAGTGATCTTTGCGGTCCCAGAAAAACATCAATTGAGCTATTGATTGATTATTTTACCAGGATGATTTGGGTGTATTTCTTGACCGAGAGAACTTGAGTTTATGAAAATTTAAATAAGTTTGTGAATCTTGTTGAAATTGAGAATGATTTCAAGCTCAAAACCTTGAGAATGGCATCAATGGTTTTCTCTATAAACTCAAGTAAACAAAAAGTTGTTGCTCAATCTATTGTGGAAGCTGAATATATTTCAACTGCAAATCAAGCAATATGGCTTCAAAAATTGCTCGATGATTTGGGATTT